AAAAAAAGTGGGGGTTTCCCTGGTGGCGCAGTGGTTGAGAGTCCGCCTGCCGATGCAGAGGACACAGGTTCGTACCCCGGTCCGGGAAGATCCCACATGCTGCGGAGCGGCTGGGCCCGTGAGCCATGGCCACTGAGCCTGCGTGTCTGGAGTCTGTGCTCCTCAACAGGAGAGGCCACAACAGTGAGAGGCCCGCGTACCGCAAAAAAAAAAAAAAAAAAAGTGGGTTTCTCCTAAGCAGCATATAGCTGGGGTTTATTTTTTGATCCATGACTTGTTTAGATGTTTAGACCATTTATAACTAATGTGAGCACTGACATGCTTAGGGTTACATCAACTTGCTTATTTGTTAACATTTTATTTCCTTTCTGAGCACTTAGGTTTTTTTAAATTTCATTATATACATCTTTAACAACCTTCAAATGATGCTGAAGTCACATATACTATAAAAACTTACAATAGTATAGTTCCATTTCCCACACTCCTGGCCTTTATGCTACTGTTGTCTCACACAGACACACACACACACGTATGTATGTGTTTTAAAGACCACAATACATTGATACTATTTTTGTGTTAACAGTGAATTATATTTGAAAGAGTTAAATAATTAACAAAAACCCACATATATGCTTTAACCATTTTCAGTGTTCTTCATTCTCTTCCATCTAGTGTCAAAGGCTTTCCCCACCTTTCCTATAATGCCTTTATAAGTAGAGAAAAACAATTATATCCCCAATAAAACATTGGGAGGGGGTTCTATGGATCCCAGTCACCTTTCTATTGTGTATCAAAGCTATATTTCTGTTGAGTGATCCTTTGTTACCATTTAACAAAGAAAATTCAGTAAGCTTAGGGAGGAACTTCTCACAAACCCATGGATTATCTTGGAAGTTCAAAGTCTGACCTACCCCCAACAAAGCTAGTTAATGTCAGCAACTTAAAAAATACTGCTGCTGCCAAATTACCTGAAAGAAAAGGAGGAAACATTATTTTTGCCCTAAATAAAACGTTCCCAAGTAAGCCCTGTTTCTAATTTACAATTTGGGAAGCTCTGAAGCAGACTAAAGAAAAAGCATTGTCTACTCTGGATCACATTCAAAGCTGGTTGATATTTGTTAGTCTCGTCTAATGTTTATCTTTGTTTTTGGCAAAGAAATACACTGAAATAAAAAGCCTATTTTAGAAAAGGTAACTATAGCATGCGTTTTTTTTTTTTCAGAAGGAAGAAAATATACCGTTAGCACAAAAATCACTAATCACCACTACTATAATCTTTTTATAAACGATTCCCAAGATTTCGACCCAGGCAAAACTTTTTTTTTTATATTAGATTCTTGACTTTTACCTTTACTGAGCTATATAGCAAGATTAGATTACCATCTGCATATCCACTTTGCACACATAAACTAGTCAATCTACTCAAACCATATGACGTTTTTTGCTTATTCTAAACAGCAGTTTCTTATGGCTTATCCTCCTAATGACAAAGGAGTGATTTCTATCTCCATAGTGAGGAGCTCTTGTAAGGAGCAGGCTACTATAAGTCAATTTATGATACACCCAAATTGCTCGATTTTGTATCATTCCATTCATTTAATATAGGTAGGAAGTGTGACTACAGTTAATACAAAATTTGGAGTTTTAACTTACTTCACTAAATTTAGGTAAGAAGTCTTTAGCGTTCAGGCAGGTTTCCCTTTCCCTTACCACCAGTCACCCTTTTGCCACATATGCAGAACTTTGTTTACAACCAGTGGTGTATTTATTATGATTACAGGGCTGAAAGGGGAGTGGGGATTCCTTGCTAAACATCCTGCTCTCCTACTCTCCTCTCCCTGAGACAAAGTCTCTTTCGCATTTCCATTTACATCATTCTTTGTCCACTATTATTATAATTTCCGGAGTTTGAACAAGTCTGCTTCACTTGATCCACAGATCCAGATACAACCAAAGAAAATACTGACAACGTTTGTGAAGGTTGCATTACAGTTTTACTCCAAATGGTTATATCTGAAAATACCTTCAGTAATATATTTATCAACAGTTTGCAGGCTGGGAAGTAAGAAGTGATTTTCAATATGGTTGAATAAAACAAAAAACTTCCTGCCACCAGGTACAGTATACACGTCATCTTTTCAAATGGCTTCAGTAAGGGAAACCGGAGAGAAGGTCAAGCAAGAAGGTAATAAGAAAGTTTTCTTAATGAGGCTCTAACTTACAGAGGGCTCAACAGATGGGTAGGCAAAGGCATTCTCTCTAAACTGGCTCCAGCATTGCTTTTACCAATCATATTTCAGCTCTTACTCCTCTGATGCAGATGCCCATGTTTTGCATATTTAATTGCTTCAGTCATGAAATATACTATCTTGTTGAGGACTCTCAATCAAATAGCCTTTCTTTTTTTTTTTTTTTTTTTTTTGCGGTACACGGGGCTCTCACTGCTGTGGCCTCTCCCATTGCGGAGCACAGGCTCTGGACGCGCAGGCTCAGCGGCCATGGCTCACGGGCCTAGCTGCTCTGCGGCATGTGGGATCTTCCCGGACCAGGGCACAAACCTGGGTCCCCTACATCGGCAGGCAGACTCTCAACCACTGCACCACCAGGGAAGCCCCATATAGCCTTTCTTTATGTTGAAAACATGACTTTAAAAATCCAGGCTAAATCTGTGTCTCTACTGTCAATGTAAAGAAGCAATATAATAATTATTACAGAATTACCTGCCTCTTAGGTATTTTTTAACTTATTAAATTATATCTATACTAACATTTCACTAGATAAGAGGAAACATAATAATTATGTCAGTTAGATATATGACAGACATATTAAGTCTATCACTTAGATGACAGATCTGGCAACATCGTCAAAATCACATATTCAGAATAGGGATTCCATTGTTAAGTCCCTGAAGTCTATTATTTGAAGATACGCACTTCTGAGATAAGAAACAAAGGTTCAGAATGATGCTTAAATGTATAGATTATTTTAAAGTTTTTAAAGGACTTTAGCATCACTTCACTGACCATAGTAACACCTTCGTAAGAGCAAGTATCATTACTGATACTTTACATTTTCCAAGTTATTGAGAGGTGGTCTAGAACTGGAAACTAGGCCTTTTCATCCTTATCCCAATGCTAGTCCATCGGGAATTCAAAAGGTCTCACATAAAATGCATTATATTATGTATTTTATTTAGAAACCACAGAATCATCAGTGACTACCTTTCTTTCAAATTGTCTAATTCTGTTCTAGTCCGACTGTGCAACATCTCACAGGTTTGTCCTGTCTTCTCTGTAAACAGCCTTAACTAAAGCCCTCTCATCTTGCTCCACGATCACTGTGACTCCACTCCCCCCACCACCCCCACCGAACCTCTTATTACAACACTGCCAGGGTGATCTTTCTAAGATGCAGTTCTGATGGTGCCGTTCCAATGCTTGAAAACAACTGATGGCTTGCTACTGCCTACAGTGGCGGTTCTTCAACCGTGCAAGTAGAGCTGCTAAAATAAAGTCATATCCATCAGCTTAATTCACTGGAACAAAAAAATTAAGGAATAGAGACAGTTGCTTTTTTATTATTTTTCCCCCCATATCTTTTTCTCACATATTTGGGACTTGCTACTGTTTGTCTACTGAGCAGACCTATCAAAATAACTAAACAAAGAAAACCAATATCAATTCTGAAAAAGTTACCTACACTTAATCCAACAATTAGTTATTTTCACCCCTATTGAGAAGTAGGGGGAAATGTTCTCGTGAACATTGATATTACATAAATGTCATGTATTTTCCAAGTCATATGATAGAGTTAAATATATGCTTAGATGACCTAGACCCTAACAACTTTTATGTACTCTGCTTCTTGGAACCAGAAAACCACTTACCTATTATCCCCCTGTGAAAGCTCATAATTCAATGAATAACCCTTCACTGATGCACCTGCCTCATTTCCTTTTATCTTTTAACACCTGTCTCCTGAATTAGATACTGAATTCATTGAGGACAGAAGCAACATACTATTCTCATTTAAACCACAAGTTCCTGACACATAGAAGTCACTCAATAAATACATGAAGAAGAAGAATCAGTGAGTTCTATTATACAAGAGAATGAGACTGCCAACTATTTGTTACAATTATAGAGTTTCGTAACTTTAGAGCAAAGTCAATATACTGTCTCTGTTTCCAGTATAACATATAACACACTATAAACATAAAATAAAATTGTTTCACAAATATTTTACTTCATGCTGCATAATACAGCTAGGCAAGAAATGAAGTCTGATTCAACAAAACTCCATTAAAAACATGTCTGTTGATTTTTAGAAAGTTTCTTAAAAACATGCAGTACTCAGAGCCATCAAGTAAAATTAAGGATCCAGTGAATTCTACAAAACTGAATTATAATTGTAAAGAATTTTTAACTCTATGACCATAAACTGGATAATAAATATTAAATTATCTTTTCAGGCCTCACCTACAAAGAAGGCTGTTTCTAGTTCAATCTACATTTTTTCTCCTTAAGTAAAAAAAGAATCGAGATCAATCTCTACAAATGTTAGGGCTTAGGTATAGAAGTAAACAAACAAAATCCTGATGGAGCTGGAATCACTACTTCATTATTGCAAGTAAAATTCTACAAAGCGAAAAGCCTGCTGATACAATTTTCACAATGAAAAGTGCTTAACTTTTTTCATGTCAGAAACAAATTCCAATTTCATGAAACTTTATTATATCCTAGTATCCTCATTTTTTAAAAGAAATTTTGAGCCCACCAGATATCTCATGGCCAGGGAATGTGAACAGCTAGAGGCATACTTAATGTGTGCTAAAGCTTATGGTATACATTTGTATTAAATATCTTACTTGCCTCAGTCTGATTACTTATGGCCTCTGGCCTATGGACCAGTGGTAATATGCATGGTTGCATTAAAAGTCAGCATTTTAAAATGAAAGCTCAAAATACTCTATGGAAGGAAAAAAAATGAGAACTACTCACGGCCAGCAAGCAGAAACTGATAATACTGTACTGCATCTGCAGCGAGGAGCAGAGGGTGGTTTGCGTTAAATGGTGGTTGCAATTCATTCCATTGAGGAGTTCTAAGGAAACAGCAGAAGAATATTAATATTCAGGCTTAATAGATGGGATGTAAATCACCATCACTGTCACCACTTACAGACATTGATATAAACTCACACTATCTTTGTAATCATTAAAATGAACTTGTTGGAGTGTTGAAACCTGAAACACAAGGCCATCTGCTTAGAAAGAATAAAAGGTGGCAGTGAGTCATACAAATTACATACAGCCAATATTAGTTTAAAGCAGACGACCCTTCAATACGATAGACAAGACATTCAAAGCACTGAACAGAGAGGAAGTGTGGAATTCAAATGTCACAACTAATTTTTACCTAATTTCTGACACTTGTTAGAGCTCTCTATTCTTAGAATATGTATACATTTTAAAATAAAATAAAAGCAGATAAAAATGGCTTAAAAAAACACAGTTAATGGTTGGCTTATTAAAGACCTAATTAGCATCTGAATGCCAAAATAAGCCACTTATTTCAATGATGGTGCAGTAATTTTAATTAGATCTGCCCATTCCTAAATAGCTTGATAAATAAGATATTGATCAGATCAATCCAGTGCAGTAAAGTACTAGTAAAGAATGGTAGAGCCTCCAAAAGTCAATATAAGAATATTTTAAAATGTCATAAGAAGAGAGATCATTTTCATATCCATTTTTGTCTGTTTCCTTCCATACATGTCAGGACCAATTTTTTCTGTCTCTCCTATACTATTGTACACTATATTGAACGGATTTTATCATAGATCTTATTTCTCCATGTTTATACTAGATTACAAAGGTTCTAATGATTATGTTCTTTTGAGAAGGACTCTAATTGTTAATAAACATTTTTATAGTGATAAGCCATTATATCTTGGGGAATCACTTTAAAGGAAACCTTCCAATCTATATATATTAGTTTCCATTCCCCATAATGGCTATCTCAATGTACTTTCTACTTGCAGTGAGCATGAGACTGGAAATAGGGGAAGCACTAAAGCTCTTTATGTGGGATAGGAAAAAAAAAACAAGTCCTAGAAAAGGTAACTCAAAGATGTGAGGAGAAAGAAGTTCAAAGGGAGGTCTTCTCCAAGGCATATACCAAAGACAACTGAATACATAGGACCACACAAAAATTTGTACATGAATATTCTCAGGAGCATAATTCATGACAACTAAACTGTGGAAATGCCCATCAACTGATGAATGGATAAACAAAATGTGGTATATCCATGCAATGGAATATTATTTGGCCATAAAAAAGGAATGAAGTTCTGCTACATGCTGCAACATGGATGGACCTTAAAAACATTATACTAAGTAAAGGAAATCAGATGCAACAGGTCACATTTTGCATGATTCCAATTATATGAGATGTCCAGAGTAGGCAAATCCAGAGACAGGAGATAAACTGGTGGTTGCCTAGGGCTGAAGGGTTGAAGAAAAATGGGGGCAGGGAGGGGATGACTGCTAATGGGTACGGGATTTCTTTGGGGGGTGATGAAAATTGATTGTGGTGATGGATGCACGACCTAGTGAAAATTCACTTTAAGTGGGTGAATTGTATTATATGTATTACATGTAAATTATATCTCAATTAGAAAAGGAATGGATTATAAAAAAACACAACAGGGATAAATCAAAATAATTTTGCTGGGAGAAAAAAGACAAAAAGACTATGCACTCTGATTCCATTTATATAAAATTCTAGAAATTATAAACTGATCTATAGTGACAGAGAACAGACCAGTGGTTGCCTGGGGCTCAGTGGGTGAAGTAGGGATAAAGGGGGGCAGGTGAGAGATTAGAAAGAGGCATAAGAAAACATTTGAGGTGATGGATATATATATAATGTTACTTATGGGGATGATTTCACAGCTGTATACATACGTCGTCAAACCTTACCAAATTGTACACTTTTAATATTTTATATCTCAACAAAGCTGTTAAAAAACCCCCAAAAAACAAAAAGAGATACTACCTAACCAGAGTCCAGCTGGCTCGGGGAGATGTCATCATTTCCAGTGGGGTGTCATCGCTGATCTTGGGTGCAGTGCTAAGCGGTCGTGGCTCCATCATGTGCTCCACTAAGTTCCCGTAGCAGCTAATAATGTAGAGGGATTCAACTACAACTTGTTTGGACTGATCTACAAAACAGGAAAACAGATCCTGGATATGTGATATTGGCATAAAAGGAGCACAGCATCATTTTTACAAGTTATTGACCCTTCAGTCCGTTCCTGAGGTTGCTGAGAGAAAATAAGAAGGCAGGAACTTTTTCACATGGTGCCTGCTCCTTGCCTAAAAATTGTCTCTTATAAGTAGACGCTAACGAATATGAAAAGCTCTATGCTATCAAAATATTTTTAAATTTAAGCAATTTATTTCAAGAACGACATAAATATACTCAAAATTCTAGTATGCTCAAACAATATTATAGTCTTTTGTATTTGCCTGAAGTGTAGTAATTTGTCCCACATTACGAAAAATGAATGGTATCAGGTGGGACAGGGAAGGACTGACAGAAAAGGAACCCTGTATGGACTAAGATTTAGTTACACTGGATGCACCAACTCAACTGCAGGAGAGACCCTTTGCCTAAATCAGCCTAACTTCTCATCTACTCTCTCTCAGAAAACTTCCTCCTTTAAACTTCTGGATTAAAACAAACAGACAAATGAAAAACACACACATGTCCTCCTCCCCCAAATCCTTGTCCTTCTTTCCTCTCAATCCTCTTCCTTCTTTCCTCCCACGGCAAATGAAGACCAGTCATACTTTGAGGTCAGGTGCTGAATATGGATCTAATCAAATGACTTTATAAGGAGTACACATGTCCTCACTACCAAACCAGGTTTAGTCCTCTATCTTGGGTTTTACAGTAAACCTAGGAGCATATAAAATCCCTCATGAATGCTGGGTGGGTTACCTTATCTCTATGCCAGAGGACTGGATTACAGCTGCTTTGAGAAAATGGCTAATGACCAGTAGTGGGACATAAAGGGGTAGCAAGTTAAAAGGGTAATTAGAACAGAAGCGAGAAGCATTTGAAATCGAGCTTCACAGAGGGTTTTAACTAGTAACAAAAAGTCATTTCGATAGCATCATTAAAGCTGAGGAGGTAACAAAAAAATAAAGATGGGATAAGAAAATGGAAGGCTTGCATACTTTACTGTATCCTCTCCCACTTAGGTAAAGAGCCTGCTGTGCCTGGGATCCTATTTCCAAGGAAAGGGCCACTGAAAGGCGATAACAAGGGAAAGGGCTGACGTCTGACTGCCAGTATTAAGCGTAAGGGAGAGCCATTTTGCCAAGAACAATACAGCCTGTGGAACCTGTCAGAAAAGTGCCTCACTAACAACTCAGTTTCTGACCTACTTTAATAGTATCACAATAATAAGAGGAAATTTTTAACACTCAAAATTAAACACTTGGTCCATGAATGCAGGCACTCTTTTCTAAACAGAAACAATGAGGAATCACATACTAAAAGAGTAATTATATAAGTTGACTCTGGTGGTCAAAGGAGAGATTTAAAAAAAAACAACAACAACACTATATAAATTCAAAGGGACAACGGTCACCATAAAAGATGATTCTTATTTCTGAGTGGGAGCCTGTTTTTATCTTTTAATTTATAACATGGCAGAGCTGTTGTAGATTATTTTTTAAGGACAGATTTAGCATTAGAAAACCTGGGTTCAAACTCTGATACCATAACCTACTAACTAGTGATCTTAGCTAAATTATTTAAACTTACTGATCTCAAATTCTTCATCTCTAAAATAGGGATAACAACGTTTTTCCTCTCCACACTTTATAGACAATGGCATGAAATTAGTTTGAGAAAAATGTAAAAGTTACATATAATGGTATGGAATTGACAGCACTGAGAACACCTGTATATTGTCACCAGCAAAACAAAATAAAAACACTCAGTGGCCAATTTATTCCACATTTACAGTGAGAGGATAGCCTGTCTTCTTGAGACTTGAATAGTTGAGGAGAGACATGCTAACTGAGTGGGAAAATTTTTTTCTATTGTTGGGCTCAAGATTATTCAAAGAGAACTGCTCTGAATTTTCCTCAAGAAACAAAAATTACAAATGGCAAGTTTAACTTCAATAAAAATACGTACCTTTTTCTCTTTTCAGACCTGCATTATTTGCAAACCACGATCGGGATGTCCCAAACGTCGCAGCCACGCAAAATTCTCCGCCCATTGATTTGCTGGGTGAAATTTGTGGAGGTGGTTTAACTTTGCTTAAAAAATAAAATGATAGTAAAAAAAAGAAAAATTACCATGATAAAATCATGGTCCTTGATAAAATGACATATTTCCCTTAAAATTTGCCCCTAAGTATTCAAACGTTCCCACGTGGACATGCATTTTGCCGTAAGTATAACTGGCGGTTGTGAGACTGTGATCTGCAGTAAAAGTAAAACTAGTTCAAAGCTCCAGAGTATTATCGGAATAGCAACTTAGACCAAGAAAAATTAGCTTCTTTTTGAAGAATGTGCTGGCAAAATCCAAGTCAACCCATTTGAGATAGATAACATTTCCCTGGATATTTCAAAGTGGAAGAGTAGAACCAGCAAAAACATCTCACGATAATAGAATAGTTTATCAGTTCACTTCAATATGTAAAATGTGGGACTGACAATACAGTTGAATGGAGACAGCATGTATGAAAACACGAGATGATACAGAATGGAATCCTGACAATGCTCTCAGACATATATGTATGGTTAGACAATGTCTGGTGAGTAGACCTAAAGATCTAGGGCGATTACAGTCACTGATCTTCCTATTTCTTGTTTATTTTTTCTTTGTGGATTTGTGAAGATGATAGGTCAATTTTTATTCTGCTTCTCCTATGTTTGAAGACACATTAAGTAACTCCTGCTACTTCACATAATTACCATAAAAAAGTACTTGCTGTCCTCTTTGTTTTCCCCAAATCAGCTTTCAGCTTCTAATACCATTGACTTCTGATATCAACCTTTCATCTTCTTGCAAATCCTATATCTCTCTTCTCTCCCAATTTGTCAAAGACTGCCCCAAAGTTCCTTAGCAATTTTGTCAGGCACCTTAGAGAAATGGTGTATTATTGTCTCTGACTCGTAGACCAGGAAATAGCCCCACTGTACACTGGTCAAGATCACAGCCCAGTCGGAGCACAAGAATAATGTTTCGCCGCTGCTAGTCAGTCTCCAATGTCAAATAACATTATTTCTACCTTCGTTTGCTCACTATCCTTTATCTCTTTATCTTCTAATGAAGTACGGTTAGACAGAGAAAGACTGGGTTTTGGAGTCAGGTGGAAACACAAATCCGAATCCCAGTGCTGCCACTTTTTTATCTGTGTGAATTTTGATTAGGTTATTTAACCTCTCAGTGCTCAGACAACTAATATATAAAATATATAAAACAGAAAGACAGCAATGCCTACCTCTTAGGGTTATTTTACGGTTTACAGCATTTTATTTGTTCTCAAAGTGTGGTCCCTGGCTAGTAGCACTGAGAACCTCTTAGACATGCAAATATTCATCAGGCCACACCTCGCTCTGGAGGTGGGGCATGACAATCTGTGTTTTTAATAGCCCTCCAGGAGATTCTGGCACACGTTCAGGTTTACGAACCACTGTATTAGGTAACGTGTAGAAAGCGCTGTGAATTCCCATATCACAGAACTCAACGCTATCTCCTGTATAGCACACAGCCTTCAACTAATTTTCAAAAAATCAGACTTCACTTTGGCAATCTCATTTTCCAGGTGTTATGACACCTGAAATAGTCTCTCACATATTTTATTTCCTGAGCCTTCTGTTTTGATGTCTTCCTTGTAGGGAAAGCAAAAAGTCTGGATCAGAAACCACTCTGCTTGGTCTCTCTGCCTTTGACCAAATTCATGTAATGCACATTGCCGTATATGCAAAGGCCTTGTCTTTCCATCATTAACATTTCTTAAACACAACAAGTTATTACCCATAAAAATCACATCCATGCCTAAATCACCAACACTAGTCACAGTCAGACTTCCACTGATAGGGAATAAAATGACAGTTTTTTTATTTTTAAGTTTCTGTAAGAAAATGCATCTGTTTCTACCAACAATTTCACGTTTTCCTTGCTGCATTTGCCACAGCTGCAATAACCTTTGCAAAACCAACAGAAGAGAAGACTCCCCTCCACCGACACCTGAACAAACAAGCACCTTCCCTTGGTTTCTGGGTAACCGGCACCAGAATTGTTCTTTCTGGTTATGATGCTCTCTGTTGTACTACCTTAGAATGTAAATTTTGCTTCAAAGCCTTTATTTCCATCACTGAAATGCTGTAAGTTCCTGTAACTAGCATCTTTTAACTTCCATTGGTCAGTTTTTGGAGGCTGGAAGGCAGAGGAGAGAGGAAAAAAACATTCCAAAATTTTTTGAAAGGTGTTTCAACTGTGTGACTATGTTTTTACTAGAATCACCATCAAGCAACAATGATCCCACAAAATGTACAAGTTCAAAGTTCTTTGCAAATTAATGAATGCTATTTTTGTTTTTGTTTTTAAATCATGTGGTAAAAGCAACAAGACAGAAAACAAGTAGCATGCCACTTCTTAAGAGAGTCTATGGTGCATCTATGGAATGCATCCTAAATAGATTTTAAAAGTTGCTACTGGGCCACTTAGCTACCTTTGTAATATAATAATCAATTTAGTCTTTAGCCAAGCAAATATATATATTTTGTATGTTCATTAGCTTACAGTCTAATCAGTTAATGTCAAAAGCTAAAGTCTTTTAGGCTTCTTTAATGTTATACATAACCCAGCTTCTGAACACACAACTAAAAAGCACCAACACAGTATCAATTTACATAAACTCATTATCTCCTGCAGAGAATAAGTATCTTAGGTTAAAAGTATTCTTAAAATTATGAAAAAATGTTCATTTTTATTCTTATACTTCATTATTTCTTCTTGTTCTTCTGATAGGGCCTTCATAAATCACATTAGTACAAGTTTGTGTTTAATAAGTAGTTAAAAGGTTTTTATCCCTGAAAATAACTTGCTACCTCCTGCATGACACAGTGCTGTGTATTGGGTATTTAGCATATTTGGTGAACATATTCATAACAAGTTATTTCTATCATCAACCTACCTTTGGAATGACTGTGGTATTTAAGCAAAATAGAAATTTAAAATATGTGCTATGTGTACAAGATTTTCAGAAAAATAAAAAGGAGAAATAATCTAAAGAAAAGATTATTATTATTAAAGTATTTTCTATACAAAATACCCAAAGGGAGAAAATTTAACATTGATTCAATTTGCCCTTTATCCTAAAATTTTAAAAGACCAAGACCAGGAATGTTGGGTGGAAGCAGAACTGAACTTTTTCCACAATGACCCAGAATATTTCTATTGCAAAATCACCTTTTGTCGGCAGAAAGATAAAACATTGAAAAATGATACATACGTGAAAGGAACAAAAGAGAAAAGTGCTAGCCTTGCAAATCATGCTCACTTATAGACTGGTGACCCAACCATTTTAGGAAAGCATTCCAGTACTAGCCTTTTTTTCTTTCTTCCTCTCAATATCTCCCTTTATCCTCTGAAAGAGACAATAAATCCTATTACAAGACATTTGCAAGTATAAACGAATACCTCTGGGTGTTTATTAATTTATTAAATTAATAATTGATATAAAAAATAAAAATTTTCAATGTATATGGGGGTCCAGAAATTCAATTGTGTTGTGGTTATAAATGAGTACAAAACATACTGATAGTGCTGGTGGACTCCTTTCCACTGAGAACTCCTGCTCTTTACCCTCCTGAGCCATACATAACCCCATGTTCAAAAATTAAAAGAAAAATTTGCCTTAACTTGTGAGCAAAACATAAAGAACTATGGAATGAATTCAACCTTCACCACATCAGAAAACATCACATTTACTAAACTTGAGACAAGAGACAACATAATCAAAAGTAAAATTAATGTACGATGAAAAAAACAACAGCAAATAAGGTGCTGAATTAAAACTCAGGAGTTTAACATTTTGTCATTTCTTCTGGGAGACCTAACCATCTAACCACAGAATGAGAATCATTTTTAATGCCATCAGATGTTCTACGGACATTAACACGATGACATCTTTAAAAATATTTACGAAGACTATTGAAGCTACCCATTGGCTTTTTCTGTATTATATAATTCAGTCAGAGAAACATATTGAATTTCTCTTGCCTGTTTTCTTTTCCTCCACACTCTACTGCAAACAGAAAAGAAAAAAAAAAAAAAAGCAAAACTCTAACGATATCGGCTTTAAAATTATAGAAAAATTATGTCTATCTGGATAATTTTACTATGTTCTATAAAATAGGATACAAGTGGTGAATCTGTGGATGGCATGAAAAGCAACAATGAGGTCCAGTGCCTTGTTTAGGACACAAGCATGGAAAAGAGCTAAACTGAGATAGAAGCACCGTTTTCTTTCCTTCTCTAAAACATAAGGGTACAGTCAATATTTCAGTTTAAATCTTAGACACAATATTGATGTAAGAAATTACAAGTGGTATTACGTCTTTGTGTTAAGGAAGAAAAACTTTTCTTTATGCTCCTCACTATGACTGGGCTTTCAAAAGGAATTCAGCAGTTTTCTCTCATTCTCAACTGTGTATTCTAAAATAAAAACTAAGAGGGAAAATGAAAGTATTTATTTTTAAAAAAGATATTGATAATATATCTAAAATTATTCTATCACAAATTATTCTTAAAGATGAGATTTCTGTAAACCCGCCAGATAAGATTCTCCTCTCCACATAAGTCTTTGCTTCTAAAAAGGAAATTATATTATTTTTTTCAATATTCTCAGAATAACAAGATTAATTTAAATTAGCTATGTATAAACAGATTGAAGACTCGGTGCTAATTAAAACTTTAAACATAATTTGACATGTAAGTTTTAACTCTTCTTTAAAATTAACCTTATACACTACAAAGATATATTCAAATGGACTACCTCTTGTCTACACTGTTGTGCATATATTTTTTCTTTTGCTAAGAAAATCAAAAATAGCAATAGTTTAAACATGATACTACATGCCGACTAGGAGCTCGATAAAAACTTGTTACTTATTTGTAATATTGAAAGCAAAATTCATTTTTAAAATTTCACAATGGCTATTTCTCTTAAAATTTCTGCATTAAAAACTGTATCATGTGTGTGATTCTTACATCATTTTATGCCATTATTTAAATTCATAAATCC